TCTTCATAATTGTGAGAAATAAATATTTTTGGGTTAAACTTGTTTGGACTTATTGTACAAACCTATTTAACATCCACTATTTGAACATAATATTATGGATAGAGTTTAATTCAGTGTTTGCAAGATTAATTTCACTATCTTTAAATTAATGTCTATATTGCCATGAAGCAATTAGGATCATGCATGTTTATTTTGCCACATTTTTGTATTTGGGAAATTATTCTAAGGTGAACGAGATAAAAAATAAAATAAAAAACATCACCGAAAAAATAGCCTGGGATCTTCCTATTGGTGACCTATTCAAAAAGGCCGACTTGGGTGTCGGCGGAGTTTGATATCCTTTCCTTTCCAATTCAGTGTTTGCAAGATTAATTTCAGTATTTTTAAATTAATGTCTATATTGCCATGAAGCAATTACGATAATGCACGTCTATTTTGCAAGATTTTTGTATTAGGGAAATTATTTTAAAGGCCACTTTCACGTCAACGAAAAAAAAAACATCACCGAAAAAATAGCCTGGGATTTTCAAATGGTTTAAAATAATTTAAAATGGCCGGATGTGGGCAGAGTTGGATATCCATCCTCGGCTTCCTGCAGCCAGACGGACTTGTGGGGGTTTCTCTCACCTGTCCCTGACCACCATCTCGATGCGGGTCTCGGCGGCGGCCTTCAGGGCCTTGTGGGCCTTGTCCACGCTCCAGCCGGCGCAGTTCTGCCCGTTTATCTGCAGGAGCTGGTCCCCGAAGCGCAGGCCGGCCAGAGCCGCCGGGGAGTTGGCCTGCACCAGCTGCACAAACACGCCCTGGGATACAGAGAGGGAAACAGATCAATACGGGGGAGGAGAGGGAAGAGGGAAGATATAGGAACGAAATCAGAGAGGGAAACAAATCAATACGGGGGAGGAGAGGGAAGAGGGAAGATATAGGAAACGAAATCAGAGAGGGAAACAAATCAATACGGGGGAGGAGAGGGAAGGGGAAGATATAGGAACGAAATCAGAGAGGGAAACGAATCAATACGGGGGAGAAGAGGGAAGAGGGAAGATATAGGAACGAAATCAGAGAGGGAAACAGATCAATACGGGGGAGGAGAGGGAAGAGGGAAGATATAGGAATGAAGTCACGAAGGTAGGGTTGTCACGATACTAAAATGTTCAACTCGATACCGATACTCAGAAAAATACTTGATACTCGATACCATTTTCAATACCACAAGGATTAAAAAAAGACCCCAAAATTTAAATTAATTTTGACAGGTTAGGGTCTTTCATTTCAAACTGACCTGTTACTGATGATATCGTGACTGGTGGCCTGCATTAATAACCCTGACCCTAACCCTAATCCTAACCCTCCACCCTTCACAATTGTGAGAAATAAATATTTTTTGGTTAAACTTGTTTGGACTTATTGTACAAACCTATTTAACATACACTATTTTAACATAATAATATGTATAGAGTTTAATTAAGTGTTTGAAAGATTCATCGATACTTTTGAAAATGAGTATCGTATCCAGATACAACATTTTAGTATCGATACTTTTTTGAGTATCGATACTTTTGACAACCCATATATATATATATATATATATATATATATATATATATAGAGAGAGAGAGAGAGAGAGAGAGTTTAGTCTCTGACAAAAACTCAGGAAAAGTCCAGAACAAAGTTCAGATGTCTTCCTTATTCTGCTTGATGACAGATATAAAATATGGCCTTCGTCCTGGATCAGCCAATCTTTGCTGTTACATCATCTTTTAAATCCAAAACTTTCAGCCCACGACCCCCAAAAGTAACGGTGCAGGTTATGCTGGTCCCGATCCGATATCTGGATCCGATCGGCCGCCGATATGTTAAAAAAATGTGTATCGGCCGGCAGGAGAAAATGCAGATCCAGACTCCTGATTCAGTTTTTTATTAAAGTCAGATCCCGCATTAGCATTAGCATCTCCTAACCCACGGGTCTGTGTCCCATCAGAGTGAAAGACGTCCGTTTAATGATACCCGGCCTGACTCACGTTATCGATGGCCCGCAGCCGGAGGCCGACCTTCCCGTCCTGGTCCTTGCAGAGGATGATCTCCCGGAGACCCGGGCGGATCTCGGCCCGCCGCACGCCCACGTCGGCGCCGGTAACGGGCCGAACCATCGCACCAACGCCCGAGATGGAGGGCACGGCCACCTGCTGGAGGGGATATATTAACTCATTGACTGCCAAAGACGTCTATAGACGTCTTTTATGTTTTTCAACGAGAGTGGCTGGGGGACGATCTGCTAAAGCTCGTCCGTAAATATCGGCTTCTAGACAGAGTATGTAGTAACAAATTGACCCTCTAGGGGGCAGTGCCACTTTTGATGGGAGATGAGCATAGACTGTAGGCAAATAAGAAAAAGGTAACGGTTCTATGAGAGAACATGTCGCCGGTGAGACGCAAGTCGAAGAAGAACGGAATAACGTAGAAACAATTTTTTTTTCCTGATGAAAGAAGAGAGTCTACTCTTTCTTTTGGTGTGTTCGGTGTTTACATAGTCATAGCACAAACTATTCTGTGGCTCTTGAAAAATCAGTCAAAATGCTCAAAAAACTCTGGCAGTATGGGACTCTCTGTTCTGAAAATGGCTGCCAGTCAATGAGTTAAAGGAGAGCAGCATTGAAATCCAGCTTGAGGATACCCTTGGAATATTTAACATGTAGGATACACTCCAAATCTAAACAATGCATAGAATGCATATATCCCCTAAACGCAGACACAATATCAATCCCACTTTATCACCAATGTGTCTTAAATGTAAAACAGAAATTGTAACATTAATTCATTGTCTTTGGTCATGCCATAAGTTATAGTGGGGGAAATAAGTATTTGACCCCTTGCTGATTTTGCAGGTTTGCCCACTTACAAAGAATGCTTATTTTTCCTCATTAGATGGTTATCAATTTTTATAAATTCATATGATTATAAGTGGGCAAACCTGCAAAATCAGCAAGGGGTCAAATACTTATTTCCCCAACTGTATATCCCATAACCACCGACACAATTTCAATCCCACTTTATCACCAATGTGTCATAAATGTAAAACAGAAATTGGAACAATAATTCATTGTCTTTGGTCATGCCATAAGTTACAAAGATATTGGTTGAATATCTTAGCTGAAATTGAAAGGATATTACGACTGAAACTACAGATGGACCCAATGTCTCTTATTCTAGGCCATCCAGCTAGAAATGATCTGTTAACAAACCAGAGACTGTTTTGTATTCCTACATATGCAGGTAGGAAGAATATTTTATTGCTATTATTGCATAAATGAAAGAGACTCAGTAGGTAAAGGCTGGCATAAGGTGCTTTTTGTTTTGATACCCTTGGAATATTTAACATGTATGATACACTCCAAATCGAAACAATTTTATAAAGTATGGGAACTTCTTTATTTAACTACCTTGACCTGAATGTATCGGCCATTTTGTTAAAAGGATTTCCTGAAAGGTTATGAAGGAAGGCATGCTGTTGTACTTTTTCTATTTTTATTTCTTCCTCCATATGTGGAACTGTATATGTGTATCTGAATGTGTTTTTCTTTCTTTCTTTTGTTTGTGTGTTTGTTTGTTTGTGTGTATGTTAAAGCCATTGGCTATCAGATATTTTTCTACTTGCTGTGAAATTGAAAATTAAGAAACATATTCTTTAAAAAATAAATATATATTCATCTTTAGATTAAAAGGAATGAAACATGAAACAGAGCAGAGCGCGTGGGAGGACTTATTTCACCTCCTCCAGCAGATCAGCTACGCTTAAAAAGCAGAAACTTCCACATGAATTCGCTTTGAAATTTAGGTTTAAAATATCAGAACAAATGAAAGAGGAGGATGGTGGTGGCAACAAACGACATCAAACATGGATCGGGTGATGAAATTCCAACTGACAAGTGATTGAGGATCCACACACAGACTTTGTATGTGTGTTTGTGTGTGTGTGTGTGTGTGTGTGTGTGTGTTTGTGTGTGTGTGTGTGTGTGTGTTTATGTGTGTGTGTGTGTGTGTGTGTGTGTGTGTCCCCACACAGCTCCAGGCCCAAAAGTGACTCACACAGCCGTGTGGATCTCCAGGAACACGCTGCTCTATAAGCTGATTCCACTCTAAATGGATCTTTAATCAAGCGTTTGGGTCACTGTTTTATTTTCTAAACCGCTCTCAAATCAGACCCTGCAGACCAGGGCTGCTCACACTTTTTCAGCATGGGAGCGACTTTTGAAATGACCAAGTCAAAATCATCTACCCGTTATATTTATTGAGAAATATATTGAGGATTCTTACAACTTATTTTAATGTATAACCACGTATTGATGTATAACCACATATTGCGACGGTAGACTGGCAGACGAGACAAACGCACTTTGAAAACGTCATCATGAAAAAAAAGTCCTCCTCCTATTCCGTATGAAAGTGATACGTTTTTTTATTCTTACTTGGTCCAGCTCCCCCACTCATTTTCATAACCTATCTTACATTTAAGAGGAAAAAAACTAGGGGAAAAATTAGGATGTAACTACCGACTAGCTTGTTAGCTTAGCTGCGCTCAGGTGCTAACTAATGCGCAGTGACCTCATTGTACGGAAAAAAATCAGATGTCATCTAGATCTGACTGGTTGTCTTGTGGATCACTCAAGTGACGGGACGGCTGATAGGCTGACGTCTAGTTTTTATTCAAAACAACTCAACTTTATTTGTATAGCGTCAATTCATGACAATGTCACCTCACCTTGTCATGCGATCTACCGATAGCACCTTGGAGATCAACTGGTAGATAGCAATCGACGTATTTAGCCCCCCTGCTGTAGACAAACGGACACTTACGTTATCAGCCACCGGCACCAGGGCCAAGTTCCTCTGGACCTCGTCGCTGTTCAGAGCCAGCCCCATGTAGTCGCCGAGCTCCTCCAGGTTAGGATACAAACCTGCCAGGATGAGGTGGGAAAAGGAGAGGATGAAGAGGATGGGATGGAGACAGAATAAGGCAGGTGGTGGCAGAAGATGGAGAGCGACAGACAGGTGGTGTGAGGAGAGAAAGAACACAGAAGTAGAGTTGTCAGATGTTGTATCCGGATACGATACTCATTTTCAAAAGTATCGATACCCCCCCCATCCCACTGCGCCCCTTCTCTCAGATTTATTTATGTATTTATTTATGTTGTTTATGATCAATAACAAGACGTTAGCCTTGAACTGCTAGCTGCGGCTAATGGCTAATAATAACATGCTACCATTAGTCAAGTACATATCTAACTCCGCCCACATCGAAGTCGGCCATTATAATTACATTAACAATAGGAAGATTCCAGGCAAGAAAATCTTAATTGCCTCATGGCAATATAGAGATTCATTTAAAAATTGTGAAATTAATCTTTCAAACACTTAATTAAATTCTATCCATAATATTATGTTAAAATAGTGGATGTTAAATAGGTTTGTACAGTAAGTCCAAACAAGTTTAACCAAAAAATATTTATTTCTCACAATTATGAAGGGTTAGGGTTAGGGTCATTAAGGCGGGCCACCAGTCACGAAAACATCAGTAACAGGTCAGTTTGAAATGAAAGACCCTAACCTGTCAAAATTCAGTTAAATTTGGGGGTCTTTGCTTTTATCCTTGTGGTATCGAAAATGGTATCGAGTTGAACATTTTTGTATCGTGACAACCCTACACAGAAGATGCCAAAAATTAAGAGAAATAACGTCAAATAGGAGGTAAACTTGTTCCTGTATAAGTATTAGCAAAACCACTTTCTTAGGGAGGTTATACTAGCACACGCCACCACCTATGTCCTTTTTACATGATCTGCCTTATGTTTTTATATTATATATATTATATATATATTATATTATATATCTGTCCATCCCAACAGGCTCCAGAACACCAAAACACCGAGCTAGCAGTCAGTTAGCAGTAAAACCTTCCTGGCATCAGCCTGCTTTCCCCGCTTATGAAGGAGAGCCATTATAAGCCATTACATTACAACGATCACATTTTTGCTTTGTTGGCTCTGTGTGTCTTCACTTAAAGACCAGGAAGGCTTCAGATTTCATTTATCTGAACTTTTATAAAGCCCTCTAAGCAATCATGGAAGCCCTGACACAATGGAGGTTGGTTACTACTGTAAATGCTGTTCGTTTTTAACGCCATTTATGGCTTGGCCCGTCCTTACTTGTCCGAGATTTTAACTTTTCGCAGTTGTGACAGAGCCTTGCGCTCCTCGGGTCAGCTTCTGTTAGACGTCCCCAGGTCAAGACTCAAACAGTGGGGCGATCGTTCTTTTGCCGTCGCTGCTCCCAGACTGTGGAACAAACTACCCCCTGACATCCGCACCACTACTGACCTCAGCCTTTTTTAAAAAAAGCTTAAGACCCACTTTTTTAAATTTGCATTTAATTCCGACTAGGGTCTCTTAGGTTTCCTCTTTCTATCTGCTCCTTTCTACGCACTTCTGGAAGGCTTTTAATGCCCTGCAGCGCTGCACCACTACAGCATTTTATTTGTTTTTTCTGTATGTTTTGTATGTCTTTTTGTATTGTTTTTATGGCTTTGTTGTAAAGCACTTTGAGTACCATTTGGGTATTGTAAAGGGCTATACAAATAAAATTGATTGATTGATTGATTGATAGTTGGAGTATTTCCACCCATAGTTATCCCGCTATAGGCCTAGACTGCCAGGGGGATTTCCCACCATGGTTCTGCTCCAGGTTTCTGCCTCTTAAAAGGCAGTTTTTCCCTCCCTGTGTCGCCTAGTGCTTGATCTTGGTGGGAATTGTTGTTCTTCTGTAAATAACTTCAGAATCGAGTATGAGCTATTCTGCTTGGAAAGCTAGGAGATACAGTAACTGTAACGGCGCTATAGAAATAAAATTGAATTTAATTGAATCATTAGCAGCTCCGTTTCTAAAGGGCTCTTTGGTTAATTCAGAAGTTCTGATGAGTATTCAGACTGTCCTCATGTTGGTCTGCTGTCAACCAGCCGAAGTCGATCTTTGACTCCTTCCGTGAGCTTATGGACACTTCAGGACGTGAGGATTTGAATCCAAAAGCTACTGATACTAAAGGTAAGGGATGTCCCGATCCAGCTTTTTTGCACTTCCGATCCGATCCCGATCCCGGCCAATCAGAGCTTGTATTTTAGTTTAAAGTTATTTATCTACTTACTTAGTTGTCAGACTCATGTTGAACAGGGATTTACTCTGATAACAACTTAATGGTTAGGACACAGACCTGTGGGTTAGGAGATGCTAATGCTAATGCTAATGCTCATGTGGGATCGGACTTTTCTCCTGCCGGCCAATACGCATTTTTCCGCGAATATCAGCGGCCGATCTGATCCAGATATCAGATCGGGACAAGCCTACTAAAGATATTCCATATGTGTCCTAATATGAAGCAGGATCGTATCCGTGTGGACCCTTTCTCTCACACACAGCCGGCCCACATCTTCCTACTCGACTTTCCAGACTCGACTTTCCCCCGAGCTGAAGGCCAGAGGAAGCCTCCTAAAAAGACGAGACCACCTCCCTCCCCGTTGCTATCCTCCCTTTTCCCTGTGAGCTCTATCCTACCCCCCTGAGGCTCCAACTCCCCCTCTGTCCCAGCACAACTGCCAGAGCCAGTTGTCATGGTGACTCACAGTGAGCTCGGCTGAGGTAAAAACAAAAGAGCAAAAGCTCACAGGACGTTTCCATCCAAACGGGAGGGAGCCTGAACGAGTGGGAGAAGCAGAAATCAGGCAGCCTCCAGTCCCTCGCACATCTCCCGCCTATTTTTATTCCACTAAAGAGGTCCTTTGTACTTTCACACAGAATTACACTGAAAGCTTTTCATCCACCTCCCTTAAACGCAAGCCGTTCCCCTTTAAAGTGAACAGCAGAGAATTGGGAAAGAAACCAGGAAGAGTGGCTGTGTTGTGAAATGTCAACCAAACGCCATCAACCGAAAGCACATTCCAGTAACTCTTAAAGGGGACATATTATGCAAAACCAAGTTTTTAATCATTTGATTATGTACATTTGGGACTGTGGAGGGCCTATCAGCAGGCAAAGTGTGGAAAAAAATGGCCTAGGTCATATTTTTGTGGGCTGCCTCAGTCTGAATCCAGGAGATAAATCAGGAGGTTTCAGGAGTGGGTAGTTTCTGACGTCATTAGCTCTAGCTCATTATAATATTCCAGCCTTTCACCTGCATGTTGCCCCCCCCTTCAGCTTACTCCCCTATCTGTGGAGACGTCCTGGTAGCGTGAGCGTTAGCATGGTAGCGTTAGCGTTAGCATGATAGCGTTAGCGTGCCGACGTGGGCACACCTCCCTGAAGAAGTGGGTGGATTGCCTGTGTCTCATTTGCATTTAAAGAGACAGGCACTCCAAAGCGAGAGCCCTGAACGGGGCTGTTTTGGGTTAGGGTTAGGGTTAGGGTTAGGCTTAGGCAGGGGGACTGAACTGCTATTGGGCATCTTTATGGGATTTTGACCAAAGCTTGTCACAGACATTACATTAGGACACCAGGGAACTAGCTTACCTTGTTGAAATAAGGTATAATATGTCTCCTTTAACATGTGAGACTCACCGGATCCCGGCATCCCTGCGGAGGCCAGCTGGGGCTGATAGGCTCCCTCGGAGATGGCCGGCATGGGGGTGGTGGTCTGGGCAAACTGGGCCTGAGCCTGGAAAGTAATCAGAAACACCGCTCAACTGGAAGCACTCATGAATGGTGGTTTTCTGCATGCTGAATTAGGCCTGACTCTCTCTAGCAGAAATTCGAACGAGACGACAAATAATTCATTAAACTCTGAACAAATCTGTATCGTTAAAGAGGAAAAAATAAACAAAGATGTCCTGTCTTTCACCTTACGAAAACAAGACGACAAATAAATCATTAAACTCTGAACAAATCTGTATCGTTAAAGAGGAAAAAATAAACAAAGATGTCCTGTCTTTCACCTTATGAAAACAGCAATAGGACAGTCAGAAACCGGGCTAATTGGCTCCTCAAAAAGAGCTCAAAAACTAATTTTACCTTGATCACCTTGTCGACCTTGAGGTCCTCGAGGGATGGATACAGGGACATGCTGAGGAGAGAGCACAAACAGTTGTGAGTGGAGGGTTTATCTGTGGGAGATAAGTCGCTTTACCTAAACCTACGGCCGTGTTTTACGTTGGCTTTGGATCGAGTTACTCTGAGAGTCTGAAAAGCAGCTCGAACCCACAGAGATTTGAGCGAGAAAACAAAGAAAATCAAACAGTCATGGACAAACAGAGACGGACATTCGAAGTCCGGATGACGCACATCCGGCAGGAATTCACTTAAATCCAGACACTTGATACCTGAATTGAAAGAAAAACATCATCTGCCAAGTTTAATGATAATAACTGTGTTATTACAATAAGTTCTCTACAAAGGGATCTAGAAAAGACCTAATAAATCGAATAAACTGATCAGAATTGCTGCTAATACATCACACTATTTTACTCCTGCTTTAACCTTTGTTCATTTCTGTGGATCTATACACAGACTGAGCAGCACGATAAGAAAAGCCGGTGTCTATTACTTCATCCTGATGTCACAATGTCCTATTTCATCTCTCTGACACACAAATAAAGGTGTGCTTGTGTGTGTGTGTGGGAACATATAGGACACCGAACAAATGTATGCACAAGTAGGACAAGTAGGAGGTAATATTTTTATCCCTCTACTCTTGGAGGTCTTCTGAGATAAAGCAGATGTACCGGGAGACAGATAGGCCTTTTAAGAAAACCAGACTTCCATAAGACATAACCCGTAAGGAAAGGGAGAAGGGAGGAACCCATGATCAGACGCATTAGCAACGGAGTAATGGTTCAGTCACGTCATTATGGATCCAGGACTTCTTCGTAAACAGACGCCGTTAGTGGAATGAGGAAGTTAAAGAGGGAGTCAAATGACTGATGTTATGAAAGAGCCGAGCGGAAAAGGGCGTGGCGCCCAGACGGAGATGACAGGTAACAAAACAAAGCACGTCCTCTGAGATGGGTGGAGCCTTTATAGAAAACATGCCAAGAGCAACTTGTGGTGTTAGCATAAAAATCTGAGCTCCTCAGCATAAAGTGGAGCCAGAGGCAGTCTTCCACCATTTGATGGATGTTTGGACACCTTTTGCAGCCTGTCCCCCCTCTCCACTAAATAATTTCCCTCTGGGATTATTAAAGTATTTCTGATTCTGATTCTGATTCCACTTCTTTCCTCCAAGCTTCTGCTGTCACACGAGGCCCAGTTAACTCTCACTTCCTCTTCTCTATCTTATTCCAACACCAACAAATCTTTCTGTAATTTTTAACATAGATGGAATGACAGATGAGGGAAAACTGTCCGTAACAAGCTCATATTAAGATCAATATCTTTACTTTTTCCATATGCATTCTCACAAAAACAACAAGAAGGAAGAACACACAAACAGCACTGTCCTATTTCAAACTGAATAAACCTGGTTGTGTTTACTTTGTGGAGCTGTAAAAACATAACCTCAGATATGAGAAGGGAGTACCAGCGTACCAGTTTCTCCAACACCCCCGTCACTGGCCGGTAACAGTAACGTTCAGCTTGAGAACCTTTGAAATTATATAGATTTTAAAAGACATATCACTTTGTCATCTACAACCTCTTAAAGAACTGTTTACTACAGTGTGGAGGACTTTGTTATAATTTCATCTTTCAAAAGGGAAAATACAAAACACCACATGACTGTAACAAAAGGCAAAAGTACACACTGAAGTCACAGGCTATGATGACAAAACACCCACAGAAAACCTGATTTTAACAGAAATAATGATAGCAGTGGACACAGGAAGGTACAAATCAAACAAAGAAAACGATATGGATTTTTGTGCATTAACAAAGAGCAAAGATAACGAATCAATAAAGATTTGTGGGATCATCGGAAGTCAAATCAAAGGAGGGTTTAACGTGAACGTATGGAATCAAGCTGAGAAACATGAAGAGTTGAACTGTTACACAGAATAAACCAAACAAAGTGCACAGCCCACTGTGGCGTCTCGTGTGTGTGTGCACAATGACGGCATGTGTGGTCAGATATTCACACCATTGAGTGAAACTCCCAAAAAAA